TTTCCTCAAATATCTAGTCATCTATAGTTGTCTGTGTTAAGGTATTCCTATTATATGTCCATCTCACATATGAGAAAACTAATTCATATAGAGGTTAAGTAACACGTCAAGACTATGCTGCTAATAAGTAGCAAAATCTTCTCATCTAATTTCAGATCCTGGTCTCTCAATTATTATACTTCTGAATTATACATCATTCTCCCCAAAGGATTAATTTAATTTATTGAGAGAAGAAACATTATTTTGGGTTGAAAGACTAGGAGGAAATGTTCTTTTTTTTTTTTTTTTCCTAGTACCAGGGATTGAACTCAGGACCTTGCCCTTGCGAGGCAGGCGCAGCACAACTGAGCTAAATCCCTGGCCCTTTGTAAAGTATTGTTTTTGCAATAAGGAGTAAGAACTTGCCTTCGTCTCAACCCAAGATGCATTTTTAAACACTGCCACAAGGTGGCGGACAAGGACTACATGCACATTTGTCCCCAGTAGCAAAAACTAATGGAAATGTGAAGGTAAAGGAGAGATTCTGAGGGCTCCCAAAAATTTCTAGGCAGAGTTGGCAGGTCTTGTCAGGAATGCAAACTGATATACAAGCTTGCTTAGACTTCTACCATTTGTTTTTCTAGTCTCAATTTTATTAACTTCTGCTCTGGTCTTTATAATTTCCATCCTGTACTACCTTTGGATTTGAATGGTTCTTATTTTTATTGGACATTAGATGCATGATTAGGTTGTTTATTTGGTCTTATTCTATTTTTCTGGGCATTTACAGCTACAAACCTCCTTCATGGATTGCTTTCACTGTGCCTCATAGGATCTGGTATATTGTAGTGGCATTATCATTTGATTATCAGAACTATTTAATTTCTTCCTTTATTTCTCTCATGACTCCTTGATTATTCAAATGTATTGTTTAATATCCATCTGTTTGCATAATTCTGTGGTTTCTTTTGCAACTGCTTTCTAGTTTCATTGTACTATGATCTGAATAGGCATCAGATACTTTAAATTCTTTATATTTAAGCATGCTTTATGGGTTAGTATGTGGTTACTTTTGGAGAAGATTGAATCTAGATACATATCTCTCATCATGTAGTACACTAAACTAAAAATGGATCAAAGATCTACGTATTAAAACAGAAACAATTTGTTGGTAGATAAAATACATAAAACTCTTGAAGACAGGCTAGGCAAGGATTTTCTGAACAGAACCCCAGTTGCACAAGAAATAACATCAAGAATAAACAAATGTAAATATGGAGGGATGGAGGGGTTGAAGGGAGGGCAGGGGAATGGGGAAAAAATAAGAACCAAGAGAGATTATGTAAAGGTGCAAATTTCCAATGATGAATGTCATTATATTGTATACCTAAAATGTACCAATAAAATTAATTTAAAAATAAACAGATGAGATCATATCTAATTAAAAAGCTTCTACACAGCAAAGGAAACAACAGAGTGAAGAAACAACCTGCAGAATGGGAAAAATTTTGACTAACCCTTCCTTGGACAGAGGACTAACATCTAGAATAAATAAAAAAACCGAAAAAAAAATCTGACCCTTGAAATAAAGACCCAATCAAGAAATGGTCAACTGACATGAATAGACACTTCTCAGAAGAAGTACAATTAGCCAATAAATACATGAAAAAAATGTTCAACATCTCTGGCCATTATAGAAATGAAAATTAAAACAGCACTGAGATACCATCTTACTCCAGAAAGAATGGTTATCATCAAGAAATCAAATAATAACAAATGTTAATGAGGCTGTGGAGAAAAAGAAACCTATGTTGTTGATGGGAATGTGAACTAGTAAATCACTATAAAAATCAGTATGAAGGTTCCTCAAAAAAACTAAAACTAGAAATTCCATTTGGCCCAGCTATTTCCCTTCTAGCTATCTTCTTGAAAGAGTTAAAGACATCATATTACAATGATACATCCATACCCATGTTTTTAGCACAACAAAAATAGCTAAATCTTGAAAGCAGATTTATCTGTCCATCAACAGATAAATGGGTAAAGAAAATGTGGTATGTACACACAATGAAGTACTATTCTAATTCCATATAATTAAAGCATAGTTTTGGGGGGGTTTTTTGGTACCAGGGATCGAACTCAGGTCCTTGTGCTTTTGAAGCAGGCAGCTGAACCACTGAGCTGAATCCCCAGCCCTAAAGCAGAGCTTTAATGAGGTAACTTGACTGCTCAAAAATGTCACATGGTACTAGCACAAAATTAGGAATGTGGATCAATAGAACAGAATAGAGGATGCAGAAACAACCTTGAGCTGTTTGATCTTTGACAAAGGACCAAAAACATAAACTGGAAGAAAAATACCCTTGTTATTAAATGGTGCTGGGAAAACTGGATATCGACATCCTGAAGACTGAATCTAGACACCTATATTTCTCATCATGTACTGAAATGGATCAAAGATCTAAATACTAAAACAGAAACACTTAATCTACTGGAAGATAAAATAGGTAAAAATATTGAAGACATGGGCAAGGACTTTCTGAACAGAACCCCAACGGCACAAAAAATAATGGTGAGAATCAACAAATCAAAAAGCTTCTTACAGCAAAGGAAACAATTAATAGAGTGAAGAGACAACCTGGAGAATGGGAAAAATATTTTGCCAGCTATTACTTGGACAGAGGACTAACATCTAGAATACATAAACCATTCAAAAAATTAGACTGCCCAAAATAAAAGACCCAATAAAAGATAAGCAACAAAAATGAATAGACACTTCTCAGAAGTACAAATGGCCAATAAATACATGAAAAAATGTTCAACATCACTGGCTATTAGAGAAATACAAATTACAACTACATTGAGATACCATCTGACCCCAGAAAGAATGGCTATCATCAAGAAATAAAATAATAACAAATGCTGGAGAAAATGTGGGAGGAAAGGAACCCTTCCACTACATTGTTGGTGGGAATGTAGACTAGTATAACCACTATGGAAATCAGTGTCGAGATTCCTGAAAAAACTAAAACTAGAAATTCCTTTTGATTCAGCTGTCCCCTTCTAAGTATCTTCCCAAAAGAGTTAAGGTCATCATATTACAGGGATATATGCATACCCATGTTTATAGCAGTATAATTTATAACACTTAGATCTTGGAAATAATGTATGTGTCCATCAACAGATGAATGGATAAAGAAAATGTGGTATACACATTTATACACAACAGAGTACTACTCTGCCATAAAGAAAGATAAACTTGAGGCATTCATAGGCAAATGGATGCAACTTGAGAATATAATGTTACGAAAAATGAGTCAGGCACAGAAGTTTAAATTAAACAAAATAGGGAGAGACAGAGAGAAAGACAGAGGGAATGGATAAATAGGAAGTAGGGAAAAGTCCAAATAATTCCCCAAATTATATATTCTATTGCTTTTTAAAACATTTTAATATATAGACTAATTTGTTTCATTTATTCTACTAGTTTCTCTTAGTTCATTGAAGAGAAAGTCCTGTGGTTTTATTTGTTCCTTCTCTTTAAGGGTCTTTTTTATCTATGACTTGGACTCTGAGTAAAATTTTTGCCATTCTTTTAAGAGTATAATACACAGTGTATTAACTATTGTTATCTCTAATTATTTTTCTAGGAAATTTTCTTTTACTTTTTCATAGAAGCAGAGTGCTTCTTTACATTTTATTAATATCTACTTATATTACATTAAAATAAAAAATACATTAAAATTGTTAAAAAGAGTGGTAGCCTGGTGCTTCTATTCTCAGATTATTTATTGTATGTAGTATGTGTACCAATGATGGAGAAGTGGTGACATTGTATCAGTTTCTGAATTACTGAAAACAAAATTTCTCAGCATGACATAAAGGAGATACAAATAACTGAGTTTAAGGATAAAGCCTATGGCTCTGAATTTGATTTGAATGTATAAGTATGAATTATACATATAAATATGATGTATTTTGTCTATTTATCTGATGTGTTTTATTAAAACAAAACAAAAAGACACAAATTTCCTAACTGCATGGAAAAATCCAAGAGATAATTAACATTCAATGACAATGTGCTCCTCCAGGACACAGATTGTGATGTGAAAAAACTACTAACATTAAAAGAAACCAAGTCTTATGGGAGAAAAACCTTATTACAGACCTGAAGATAGAAATACAAGATGTGCCTGGAAGAGTATATTTCCCTGCACAGCAAAGAAGTTGTCAAAACTATGAGGGCCATGACAAAAGGACTTAGAAGCCAATCTGGTATATCAAGATGTTGTATATTAAAACATTAATCAGAAAATTAGTAATTTGAACATCACGCCTATATTGAATGACATTAATTTTATATATAGATAACTAACATAGTTTAAAAAAAATCTTTACCATTTACAGACCTATAATAAAACATTTACAGAAGGAATAATATACCTAAGGTTGCTTTAAAATATTAAAGGGAAAATTAAAGTAAGGTACAGGTAAAACAATATTAGTCACAAGTTAATCATTGTTTTTTTTTGTTACCGGTTATCAAACTTGGATCCTTGAGCTTGCAAGGCAGGCGGCAGAACCACTGAACTAAATAGCCGGCCCCAAGTTGATCGTTGTTAAAGGTGGCTAATGAATATGAGAGGTCGTTACACACTTCTGTTTATGTATAAAATTCTCACAAAATTTAAATTCATTTTTACTCTAGTTTACCTTATCCAGTCACTAGATTCTTGTAAATCACATTTTTCTGACAATGGCCATAAGAATGAAGTAGGTATGAAAAAGGGAAAGTGTATAAAAAAGACTAATCCAATAATCTATGCTCCTCCAAATCACCTCAATTTGACAAATATTAATTATAAGGAAGAATTCCTATTATATATTATTAATGTGAGTACTGCAAGGCCTAAATATGTAATTCCCGAGTATCCACAACCTGAGTGAAGCAGTACTAATGTTGATACTTCCTTGGCCATTTGGTGTTTTAATATAGAACAGAAATCAATAGAGCTATTTACCTTTATTAGGTTCTGCTACAGTAGATCTATCTGGATATTTAGAATGGGAAATCTCTGTTTCTGATTTTCTTTGTACAATGATTTGATTTCCAAACCACCTGGGTCCTGAGTAAAAGACTGTAAATTTCTGCTGAATATCAAGTCCAACTAAAAACAGAAAAACATATACAAATGCTGTAGAAGTCATATAAGCCCATATATGTGCCCAGAAAATTTAAATATATTTAAAAGGTTAAAAAATACATCAATGATAATTTATACATCTATAATTACAAAAATCAATGTTCCTACAACAAATGACACTTAATTACCTTAAAAAATAAAATGCAAACAGTCTTTGTAAATAGGGAAGGGTGGAGGGGGTGAAGGGAGGACAGGGAATGGGGAAAAAATAAGAACCAAGATACATCATGTATAGGGGCAAGTACCCAATGATAAATGTAAATGTATTGTGTACCTAAAATGTACCAATAAAAGAATTTAAGGAAAAAAACCAAAATGTCTATGACTGAACAATTAAAATTTGAATTATATTATCCTGGCCATGCTATAGTTTCCATATAGAAATATATGAAACATCCCTTAAAATTTATTCATAATATCTAAATATATTTTTACATGTAATTTTTGTATCAGTATAAAGGAAATAATTTTAAATGCTGTCATATCTTTTATAACTTCACCACTTTAACTTACCCAAATCAGAGCTAATTAGATTTATGCTAAGATCTTCAGATATAAGAGCTCTCCTCACATCAATCTTTTTCATCCAATTTCCAGCTTTTAGCAAAACAGAATCACTGAAAAATGGAAATAGATATTTTAAATAGTGGTCCAAATATTAAATGAAATAGTATATTAATTTTCAAGGGCTGATTGTTCCTAAGACAGGTCTTTTCTAGTAGTAAACTGAAATTGATTACTGAAAACTACTAGTTCCTCTCAACTCTGAGTAGGGAGAATGATTAAGCTATCTTTTTATACCCAGCACCAAGCAGCTGAGCTTTTCCAGCTGCCATAGCACTGTCCCCAGCACAGAGGAGCAGAGCCCGGCCCAGTGCTGAAGAGGTAAGCTGGGTGGCAGCAGCAACCCCCCCCATTGAAATGAGGAGACAAGTAAACAAGTCTCAAAACCAGATTTCCAGATCACCTACAACAAGCCCAAAGGGAAAGGAGATGGAAAAATCTACTCTACCACCTGGACTCCCTGAACTGGCAACAAAAGAGGATCTGGAAAAAATGAAATCAGAAATAATTTCTCACATAAAAGCAGAGATTGTGCCCATAGTGGAAGACATGATTAATACATCTAGAGAGGAAACAGATAAAAAAAAATAGACGAGCTGAGGAACATGATGGAATCCCAACATAGGAAACAAATGGAATCCATAAAACAGATACAAACAGATTTCCAGGAGATTAAAAACTCCACTGAAAGTTTACGCAGCACAGTGAGCCAATGTGAGGACAGAATTTCAGATATAGAAGATAAGATTGCAATTAGTGACCAGGAAAAGAAAAATTGCTTCAAAATTGTAAGGGACCATGAGAAATCAATCCAGCAGCTGCTAGACGATGCAAAGAAGAAGAACATAAGACTGATCGGAGACAATGAAGAAACAGGAGAGAGTTCAGATGACATTAAAACACTGTTCACAGAAGTGGTGGCAGAAAACTTCCCAAGCAGGGGAAAAGAACTTGACATACAGATAAACGAGGCATATAGGACTCCAACTAGCCTTGATCAAAAAAAAATGTACACATAGGCATATAATTGTTAAGATTCCAGAAACCCAACAGAAGAACAAAGTGCTACAAGCAGTTAGAAAAAAGAAACAAATCACATACAAAGGAAAGCCCATCAGAATCACAGCAGACTTCTCAATGCAAACCCTCAAGGCAAGAAGAACTTGGAGTGATATATTCAAGCCCTAAAGGAAAACAGCCTCCAACTCAGATTGATGTACCCTGCAAAACAATATTTCAAAATTGATGGAGAAATAAGACACTTTCATGACAAAGAGTACCATAGGAACTTCATGAATACCAAACCAGAACTCCAAAAAATTTTAGATAATATCCTAAGACAATGAGGAGGCTATCTTTTTGTTTGTTTGTTTGTTTATTTATTTATTTATTTATTTATTTATTTATTTATTTTTCCGGTACCTGGGATCAAACTCAGGACCTTGTGCTTGTGAGGCATGCATGGTGCCACTAAGCTAAATCTCCAGCCCCAAGCTATCTTTAAAAAATTTTTTTTTTGTGGTAGTAGGGATAAAACAGAGGACCTCATGCATGCTAGGCAAGTGCTATACCACTGACCTAAATGCCTAACCCATATTTAAAAATTTTATTTTGAGACAAGGTCTTGCTAAGTTGCCCAGGCTGGCTTCAAACTTGTGATCCTTCTGCCTCAGCCTCTCTCAAATAACTAGATTACAGACATGCACCAGTACATTGGCAATGGGGCTATCTTGAGCATAATTTTCTTAAGTATATGTGATTCCAAGTTGCACTGATTCTACCTGGAATGTGTAACTGCTATCAATAACACATGAGCTTGCCCCTACATCACTACCACTTTAAACTGGCTATATGTAAATTACATTTATTAAATATCTTTAAATTGATCTGAAATAGTTTGTATTTAATAATAAATAGCACAAAGCAACAGCCAATTATATGATTGAACTTATTAAGTATGATCAAAATATATGGTGAATGTTTAAATTTTTTTAAATAGCCTGCCAAAAAAAATGTATACACATATTAGCAGTTCACTGTACTAATAAGTGTCTGAAAGCTAATGGCCACCACTTTGAGCACCTCCTGTAATTGTCAAGGTCAAAAGTAATTTGTATTAATCTCATGATGTCTCAATAAATTTAGTATTAAAATATTTATACAAGTCTTTCTTTTCGTGATATACACACTTTTTTGGTGGATTCTGTGTTTACTAGTAAAAGACACATTGCCATTAACCCCCCTCAAAACTTCCCATAACTTATCTCATCATCCTTGCCACTATTTGAAGCAGTTTTGTAAGTCCTCTTGAATGACTGTTTTTATGAAGTGTGATAAAAAATATGGCAAATGCTGTTGCCAAGTGTCATCCCATGGAAAGGCATAAAAACATGGTGTGTCTTCATCCACTTTATTCATGGGATCTGACACTCTGTGACTTCTGGTTCTTCTCCAAAGTCAAAATGACCATTAAAGGTAAACATTTTGAATTGATTCAGATCGAGACAGTCATGACAGTGCTACTAAAGACTCTTATGAAAGAGAACTTCTAGAAAGGCTTAGGAAAGTGGCAAGCATGATGGGAAAAGTGTATTCAAAGTGAGGGGAAGTATTAAGGAGATTAATGACTATGTGTCTTTTACTGTAATAAATCTTTTAAAATTTAACCATTCACTCTATTTTTCAATCACACCTCATAGGTTAGTCTCTTATAGTTGGGGCTACCATTCGATTTAATAGTCACAAGAACAAAGAGTTATACAGTGGTGTGGGAGTAATTACCAGTGAAAAGAATATCCTATTATTCTGCATGTGAATAGAAACAATTTGGAGAGTCCCATTTCAGAGTTACTGCCTTTCCTGAACTGACAAGTAAGTAATATGGTTAGGAGGCTATAGCACAGTCTCTGGAACTGGAATGCTTTGGATCAAATCTAGACTTTGCTATTAACTAGCTATCTGACCTTGGAAGAAGTGATGAAATGTCTTTGTTTTAATTTCCTTCTCTACAGTATGTGTGTATGAGGAAAACACCTGTATCATATAAATATCAAAAAATTCAATATTTTGAATCTAAGTATTAAAAAGTATTAGACATAGCTGCAATTGATATCCTTAAAGTTTGTTTATAATATCCTTGGAAAAAATAATAGTATCTAGAAAAATGCTAAAGTGAAAATTATAGAATGGCATGTTAGAGAATTAGCCATAAAGGAGGGTCTTTCCTTTAGTTTTTTTTTTTGGTACCGGGGATCGAACTCGGGTCCTTGCACTTGCGCAGTAGGCGGCGAAACCACTGAGCTAAATCCCCGGCCCCTTTTCCTTTAGTTGTTTAGGTTTCAATTTGGAAGTTGAAAATACATTTTAAGCTGAGTAAGAGGATGACTATATCCAAAGAGCAGTAAGGCCTGAACGACTGGAAAAAAGGCAGTGGAATAAGAAAGATCTTCTAAAGGTCTTCTATTCACTTATTTTAGTCCATGAGGATATGAATATGAAACAATAGACTCAATATTAATACCTTCTATACTATACAAATAGAGAAACTACTCCATTATCATCTCAGGAAAATATAATTTAATTCGTTCCATAGTGATCTTACTACTCTTCCACTAAAAAGTGGAATTTTTTTTTTTTTTTTAGTACCAGGGATCAAACTCGGGTCCTTACGCTTGTGCAGCAGGTGGCGAAACCGCTGAGCTAAATCCCTGGGCAAAAAGTGGAATTTTTAATTTACAGTACATATATGCTTAGAAATAAAATCAAATGGAAATTTCATAATTACTTACATAATTTTTTGCTTAAAAACCACTTGATTATCTGCATCACCTATGATTAAGGTAGTATAGTGAGAATTTGGTGTCGTTCTTTTAATCCGTAGCTGTTCAAAGTTTCTTAATATAACAGTCACCAATATTTCTGCCTTGGTATCACTATATCTTGCAATCTTCAAAAAAGGATAGGCATAAAAAAGTGTTAAAAAATAATCTTACTAATAATACTCCCCTCCTAGACTAGATATGGGTAGTTTTATTTCCAAAAAGACAATCAAAATACTTAAGAAAATCTTTACCTGTTCTACTTCAAGTTCATATTTTGGCAGATATATCACAGCTTCTTTTATCTGGGTCCCAAAAGGGGGATATCTGTTTAAAATCTAAACATATTTACATAATTATTTTCTTAGCACAGCACTTAAAACTCTTAGTAAGATATTTTTTAGAATTAACAATATTAATAGTATTTATCACCCAAAACCTTAGTAAATGAAAATACTTATGACTGTGACAAATAAAATAATTTTAATATAAATAAAGATATAAAAATAAGGTTTTGGAATTTAAATAGAATTCAGATAATATTAGGAAAAAGTGAATTTTACACACCAGTTCAAGTTCCCTTGCATCTGTTTCTTCTATTTTCTTAAAGGATGTCAAACCTGCATTTACCATGGCATTTGACAATGTTATACCTGTGGAAAATTCATCAAAGAGCAATTTTTAAATGAAATCTATACCTATTTGCTTAACCACTACATTAGTAAAAACTTTTTAAAAGATTCAGTCAATCTTTATGGTGTATGGTTTGAGCATGTCTCCCAAAAGTTTGTGTGCTGTAGATTTGGTCCTCCGTACAGCAGTGTTGAGGTGGTGGAATTTTAATAAGAAAGGCCTAGTAATGAGAGGTAATTAGGTCACTGGGGCTCCTCCCTCTTGAGAGGATTAATACTGGTATCTTGGAATGGTTTGGGTCTGGTAGGAATGAGATAATTTCCATGAAAATGGGTTGTTATATAAAAAAAAAAAAGCAAGCCCTGATTCCTCTCAATCTTTTGGTTCCAGACTCTCCATGTGATTTCTTTCACGTGCACTTCTGCCCTTGTGATGCTGTTACCATGAGGCCCTCAAAAGAAACAAGCAGACACCAGTACCATGCTTTTGAATTTCCAGAATTGTAAGTGAAATAAACGTCTGTCCTTTATAAAGTATCCAGCTTCAGGTATTTTATTATAGCAACACAAAACAGAATACTGTAATACACTAATTTTAAAGTTTTTCCCAAGTTTTCAAATTTTAGTAAGATACATTTGCTTCATAAGAGAAAGGATATCTCTGGTCTACATGTTGACTCAACTCTCAGTTTTACTGAATGTCATCCATATGGCAAACACCAACAAACACATATATTTATATGTACTTATGTTTGAAAGAAAGACAGTATGAGTCAATGGTGGGAATAATGCTTCAGGTAGCTACGTCTCTCTCAGCATTTCTGTCTTAAAAGTAAAGCTTGATGTTTCAAATTCCTAAGCCAGAAAATTTTACTCTTCCACCTAAAACTCCCAATGCCTTTACACTGCATTTAAAATGAAGTGGCAATTTCCTTACTGTGGCTGAATTCCCTTACCTGTATGACTTGACCACAGCTTACTTCCTGCATCTAATTTTCTACTACTCTCCTCTTGCTGACTACTCCACGGTTACACTGGCTTTCATTTGTTCCTTAAATACACCTTGGACCTTTTCTCTTTCCTTATGCTTTCAGAAACTGGAATTTAAAATTCTTATATTTACAAATAAATTCATCCAAATCTCAAAATAGAAGATACTATAATAAATGTGTAATTCTAAAACATCACCTCCCTGCCCAAGGTACATATAGTACTGCTGAAGGTATGACACCTCTATTTTCTTATTCATATTTTAACTATTCGTGAGTATTATCTTAGTCATTCTTACAACATAGATTCTAGTATTCATAGATCCTTAACAGTCATTTCCATTTCCCTCAAAACTCTTTTTTTTCTGGTACTGAGGATCAAACTTGGGACCTTGTACTTGCCAGGCAGGTGCGGCGCCACTCAGCTCTTGGCCCCTAACTTTTAACTTTTTAGTTTACAGTCACTATTGAAAATAAATTCATCATGCTCAAAAAGAATTTAGATTTGCTCTTTTGTTCTGATTATATCACTTGTTTATCGTATCCGTTTTCTTCTGGAAATGCTTGACTATACTGAGTACGTATGAAAAATGAGTTACTGTTTGAGAGTCTAGAGGATGGATGCCCACACTGATAATATTCTAGAAAGTCAGAAAGGCTGGCTTTTTCAAGCATTATGAAACTTATTTCAATTTTTTCTGCAAATTGCTATTTTCCAAATGTTGTATGGAACCTCCTTTCCAGTTCAGAATACTTGCCTTTGTGATATGGCATTTGGTTTGCTAGGGCTTCAGGAGAAAGATGAATCTTTCTATCAGAAATATCTATCCAATTTTGACCTGACTTTACTTCTTCTGGCTAATCTCACCTTCACCTTAGCACCTAAGGACTTCTGGTCAGTGTTCTACTATCCCACTGATTTCCAATTTCACAGAAATAAAAGGAGGACTTCAAAAAAGAGCTAGAGAATAATATGAAAATCCCCAAAGACTCATTACCTAATTTTTAATGTCCCCAAGACACATGTGACAAAAGCTCTCTGTTTTGAATCATAGCTATAGCTATTTAAGAAAGATTAGGTTAACAAATTCAAAGGTACCAAATGAAAAATACACAGTCCTTTACTCTGATCCCATTTTTTATAATGTTTTTCAGTGTCTACCATATTTATACTAGGATTCAACACTGAGAAAATAATCAGGCACAATCATTTTTCTAAAGAATCTCTGTGAAGATAAGTATTGCTATCCTATTCTAAGTGAAAGCAGAAAATAGTTAAGATAAAAATAAATGACACAGTTTTCTGTAATTAATTTGGAATGGCCAAGATTGTTAACTCTGTATCTTGTCACTGAGATCACAGCAAAAAACTTGTCATAGAAGTGGAAGAGACAGCATCACATTGTTAGTCACCTAATTACTAAAACTTGGTATGACAACAAACTCTCTCTCTCTCTCTCTCTCTCTCTCTCTCTCTCTCTCTATATATATATATAGTGTATGGGGGATCAATCTCAGGACCTTGTAGTTGCCTGGCAGGTCGATGAGCTACATCCCCAGCCCAGAAAACAAACTTTACAATGAAAGTATTTTTGTTAGATTTTTCATGCACTACTCAGTTGGTTTCATATGGAATCATTAAGCAGATGCAAAGAAAATTAGATTTTCAAAACTAAAGTATAATAGCTTATAAACACATTTTCTTTAAAGGTCTATAATCATCACAGAATAATTTGCTTAATAGTGAAACACAAACTAAATTGTAGACATTGCTAAAAAAAAAAATTGTAGACATTGCTTGTATTAGTACCTACCGATTTTTTCTAGTTGTTTGGATACATAAAGAGAGTTTTCCCAAAGTTTACACCTAAAACATTTAGTTAAAATCAAACTATTCAATAATGCAGCAAACTTCTTTTCCTGACCAGCCACAAAGTCTGATAACCCTAAAAAAAAAAGTTTCCAATATTAAACCTAGTATAATAGTTAACTAGAAAAATAGTGAAAATCCACTAATTCTGCTACATACATCTTGTGATTCGTGAGCCACTTCTGAAAATCTTTGAGATGTCTTGTGTCAAAGCAAAATCTTGTATGGGAATGCATCCTAGCTGAGCCTGAATAAGACTGGGGAAAAAAGAAATTTCATAACTTCCTTTTGAAAGTTAGTATCACATATTTGACATCACTGCCTGAAGTATTCCTTCTTAGAATTTCTCTCCGCTTTGATTTCGGTGACACTACATGATTGTATATCTTGTATTATTGTTCCAGGTCTTTGTTCTTGTTCTTTCTTTTCCCAATTCTTAAAAGTTCAGTCCTTTTCTGTTTTTTTAGAGACAAGGTCTCCCTATGTAGCCCAAGCTGGCCTCGAACTCATGGTGATCCTCCTGCCTCACCCTTCCAAGTGCTGGGATTTCAGGCATAAGCCAACACACCCAGCCCAGTCCTTTTTTTTTTAACTCTTTTTTTTCCACTCAATTTCTCTTTCAAAAATCTCACAGTTTATTAATGAAGAAAAACGTGGATGAGGTGGTTATTTTAAATGTTGCATAAACAAAACTTATGAAGCTATCTAGGGATACACAATATAGGGCATGTGCAAAATTGCTGAAGTAAAAATACTTCTGAAGAAATATTGATATTTAAAGCAATATTTATAGTAATAGAAAAGATACTTCAAATATCAAACTTCCTTGTTGGAAACCTTATTGTAAGAAGCAGTAATAAAATAGGGATGAGAGAAAAACAGGATTTATGCCAGAAGGTACCGATCACTGGCAGGGCTTTGTGTTTCTCGCCTCTAAATAAGGCAAGCAATGATGTTCTATAATCTTACAGTGCTTAGTTTTCTGAGTATTTAGGTCTTAGTACTTAGGTCTTTTGATTTAAATGATGTAACTTGAGGTGAAATGATTTTGTTTATATGACTCAATAGAATGAGTCAGCAAAGGAATTTTTTTCCTCTTTCAGCTAAGGGAGGGCAATTTCTTTGGGTTACTTTGAGATATTTCATTGAATTTTAGCTGCCCAATATCCTAATAAAATAATTTTCTGTTATATGCATTTCCTCAGGCATAGCTATAGTTTGGACTAAAGAAGTTAATATTCTGTTTCTTAGCTCTATTTCCCTAGCAATTCAAAAATTCTTAGGGATCATAGAAAAGAGGTCATGCAGCCCAATTCTCTCATTTTACAAATGGAATAAGTAATGCACAGATAAACTGTGACTTGGCTACATTTATGTTGGAGTAAGCTATTTATGAGGGAATAAGATAGAACTGGAACCTGGAGCTCTTTGCTCAGTGTTTTTTCCAGTATACTCTGTTGCACCCATATCAAATCAAGATATTTCCCACAAAAATTTTCTTGGGAACACTTTATTTGTAATTTCAGTGTTTCCATTAACCTTGTCTTAAAATGGATAATACAGTCTTTTGCTTGGGGCGGGCAGATATATATCATAATTTAGATAAACGTTATAATCCCCCACCTCTTACATTTTATTTAAGCATAGCAAGAAGAGAATGTGTATGGGGCGCTATCTTTCATTAATCAAAAATGTACATATAGTCTTTTGGTAGATGATGATGGCTAACAGTACCAATTTTTGTGACTCTCTCATATCTCTGTTATATGCTGAATTTCTAATCTATTCTTCTCAAAGGTAATACTAATCATTTTAGTTTGAAGCTTTTACGCTTTTAAGTTTCTGCCTTCTTAATTTCCTAGCTTTAAGTGCTCAATCTTCTCTCTTCAGCACTAGCTCTGTCTTCTTTTACTGGAATTTTTCAGTGAACTCATAGGTTATGATATGGCACCATCATGCAAGTGCTACACTGCTTAAATCTGGATTTCTTTTACACAAAGAAGATTAAATGCAAATGGTCTGGTAATGGCTAAACCTAATTCTTAATGAATCAATACCTTATTTCATTTAATTCTTACAATAAACCTGATTTAATCATTACTTAACTGCCATTATTTCCTATTAGAAAAGAATATCACTGTATTTGTGATTACAAACTAGATAAAAGTCACAAGTTACAGAGTAATCTTAAATTATTATTCCAATTACTACTTCTCTATTGAAACTACCCATTGTTTACAGAAAAGTTATCCACAATCATATATGCATTCCTTCATTTGGGCTTTTGGTATATGTCTCTCCCAGAATGCCACTACCATTGAAAAGATATTGATTATATGTATTTTAATACTGCTTCAGTATTTTTATATGCATGGTCCTCCTGATAATAAGTATAAGAAGCTTGTTTTCTATTGGTCACCTTGCATCAAAAGAACACATTCTCAACAAATGGCTGTTGATTAAAAATATTCACAATTCATTATAGTTAAAGCCTAAGAGTTCTTAGAAATTAATTTTGCATCTACATATTGACTCCACATTTTTAGATAAATATGTTTTTTTTATTAAG